TATATATATATATGTATATGCATGTAACAACGCCTTTAATAATGAAAAAGGGGGGATGCTCTTTGCTCTTTTTCTGACTTTGGGATGCTCTTTTTCTCACACTCCAATGACTTCAAGAAAATTCCAGATATCTGTTTTGAATTCTGGGAAAATGTTGTTAATTTTTGTATTTTTAATAATTTCATATTTAACGGTATGTGAATTTTTCATGGTGCAGTGGGCATTTTTCTGTTGGTATACCACAAGGTACCAATTTCTCAAATATACTTGCTACCCTTTTTTTACACTACTATGAGAAAATGCTGCGATTTTTATTAGGCACGAAATCAGATCTATTTATGACTTTATTATATTTAATTACGGAAACTTTATTAATATTGTTGCTGTAGTTCATTAACGTCGCACTAGAGCTGCACAATGGTCTATTGGCGACGGTTTGGGAAACATCCATGAGGATGATCTGCAAACCTGCCTTCACAATTTCGATCCTCTGCAATGGGTGGCACCTCCTATTCGGTAGCCTGACGACAAGGGCGTGAAATAGAGCACTTTATGGTAGAACAGTTTAACGAGGACCAATACCATACACCCTCGGACTCTCTGCACACTGATCTAAGTTTTCACCCACCAGCACACAGACCGCAGTCAGTGATGCTTGACTTCGGTGATCTGCTGGGAACCGTTCTTAACAATGCGGGACTTATTAATATTACAAACACAATTTATCCGGAGGAATTAACTGTAATTAAAACTAATCAATCTAATGTAACTTCAGATTTTCTTGATTTATTCATTGCATTAAATTCATCTAAAGTTCAAATTTATGTTTTTGATGAAATAAATAAATTAATTAATTTTCTCTTTTTATCCTTAAGATAATTTATTGAAAATCCAATATATCTATTAGTATCCATATAGATGTTATTATGCCTTAAAGTAATAGCATTAAGTTTATTGGCAATAATGATATTTTGGCAATATTGGCATTTTGAAATTTTAAAATACTGTAAATCTCTACGTAAACTTCTCATGGATAATGATAACCAGATTTGATTTGTAGACAGGTACCTAATTCAGTTGTTATTGTTGTTAATTTACGTCGCACTAGAGCTGCACAATGGGCTATTGGCGACGGTCTGGGAAACATCCCTGAGGATGATCCGAAGACATGCCATCACAATTTTGATCCTCTGCGGAGGGGACGGCACCCCCGCTTCAGTAGCCCGACGACCTGCGCGCGAAGTCGAGCACTTTACGGTAGCACAGTTTAACGAGGACCAATGCCGCACTCCCTCGGTCCCTACGCAGACTGATCCAAGTGGTCTCCCACCGCACACTGACCGTTGCCAGTGATGCTTGACTTCGGTGATCTGCTGGGAACCGTGTCTTAACGATCAGTCCGCTGCGGGACCCTAATTCAGTTGAGAAATGCCTCCCGAGGCTAAATAATGCTATAAAAGGGCCACTCAAGCATTGAAGGATCGGTTTGATCGCCTTGAAACATAATTGAGTGGCGTTACTTCCGATCGATTTATCAAGCTTAATTATTATAGAGTATGTTAATTTAGATAGAGTATATTCATTTATTAAGTTTAAGGTTCATATAGTTTATTTTTATTCACATCTATACCTTTAAAAAAAATTTCTTTCTTAGTTTAATACTCGAACTCACATACTCGAACCTGCAACTTTCTGAATTCGCCTGAAAAATCATTTTTTACATCTGGTAATTTATGTGTGCTTCCACTTAGAATTTTAAAGATTACGGCATATAGTCTTCCTTCGAACTGCTTTTGATTTCTCTTGTTTTTCTTGGAGCAGTAGGAGGTATGGTTGTTTGCGGTAATTTACCGCCAACCGCAGAAACTGCTTCCTCGTTGACTGCATGGTAATGCCCACCTGACGAAGCTGCCATGTATGTCAGTCCCTCCACTTTTATTTCTTTTCTGTAATTTGTTGAAGGAAGTAGTTTGAGTTGTTGTAGTTGTAGTTCATTTACGACGAACTAGAGCTGCACAATGGGCTATTGACGACGGTCTGAGAAACATCCCTTAGGATGAATCGAAGACATGCCATCACAATTTTGATCCTCTGCAGAGGGGAGGACACCCCCGCTACGGTAGTCTGACGATCTTCACACGAAGTCGAGCACTTTACGGTAGAACAGTTTATCGAGGACCAATACCGCACACCCTCTGTCCCTACTCAGACTGAACCAAGTGGTCACCCACCCGCACACTGACCACAGCCAGTGATGCTTGACTTCGGCGTTCTATTGAGAACCGTGTCTCTACGATCAGTCCTCTAGACGATCAGTCGATCGATCAGTCGACTACGATCAGTCGTAGAGACACGGTTCTCAATAGAACGCCGAAGTCAAGCATCACTGGCTGTGGTCAGCAAGCGGGTGGGTGACCACTTTGATCAGTCTCCGTAGGGACCGAGGGTGCGCGTTATCGGTCCTCGTTAAAATGTTCTACCGTAAAGTGCTCGACTTCACGCGTAAGTCGTCAGGCTGCAAATGTGGAGGAACTATATTCACTTCAGAGGATTTGAATATCTCCAATTTTTCATTGTGCAGCTCTATTGCGACTTAAATGGCATTATAAATAAGAAACTATTATACACACTATTATAAATAAAGACGCAATAGTTAACACGATTATTATAGTACATTACTCGTTCTAATGGCATAAATAAAGCTATCAACAAGGGTTTTACACTGTCAGAAATTCCTTGGAAAAAATGGTTAAATAAAAATTTATGCAATTGTTATTTGACCATATTCACACAAAACAGCCAAATAACCATACATAGGATGGTATTCAATTGTGAGAAAAACCGGTTATTTTCACCTAATACGGTTTAACTCCGGATGACACCGACCACAGTGTTGACGTGAAATATCCTCAGTGGTAGGCGGATCATGAGCCCTAGCTGTCAGTCTAACCATGGGAGGCTTTTGCGGTTTTCCTCGCCATTTAATGTTCCATCATAGTTCCATCAGAAAGTCTTCCGCTAATTCAAATTTCTCCCAATACTTGATGCGGGAGTTGCCTTGTCTTTTAGATTTGGTTTTAAATTGCAAGGAGTTTATTGTTAGTCATAAACCAAAAATTGGGTCAGCTGTTCAACTACGGTTTTAAAATTTATAATGCAAAAGATTATATGTCGTACATATTAAAAAAAAAATTTTAATTATTATTTAAATTATATATTTAATTTATTATTTTTAACTATTATTTTAAATTATATTTAGTTATATTTTATTTATTCCCCCACCAAAAAAAAAATCCTTTAAATAGAATCTCATAAAAGCAATTATTTTTTAAAAAACTGAAAAGAATAGAGTTTTATATTCAAAAAAAAAAAAAAATTCCATTGCATTGATCGATATTGTGTAATAACAAGAGAGTAGTTTGTTGCTAATGTTTTTTTTTTTAAGTTAAATCTTTTTTATGAAAGCCTGTGAAAGAAAAGAATTCAACCTAGGAAAGGAAACGGACTAAAAAAGAATGGATACAAGTGATAATAATAATTTATTTTTGTTGCTGTTGAGAGAATAGTCGTTACAGTAGTTTTTATCCATATAGAGATGAGTTGTTTGATTTTACGAGGAAACACGTGACCCATTTACATCACTCGAAATTTCCATAGCTGCAGTTACAATAGCTATCTCCATGCCGAAACATTCTTCCGTAAATATTTTTTTCCCTTCATTATTTTCTTTCAAAAGAATGCTTCTCTATAAGAATTTCTTTTCTACGTTAAGATATTTTTTTTGCAACCCAATTAAAATAATAACGGTGGGTTGCATTCACTTCAACGAACAATTTTAACTACTCGCTTGTGGGGCAACAAAGCAATCACAAATAGTACGATTCACAATTTAACTATTCTTTATCTTTTCTTCGAAAATAACTATTTCAAAATAAATAAGAATTTGGATTTTTATTTGTAATTATTCATCGTTAAAAATGAGTTCATATGAGAAATATGCTACTGTTCAAGGAATAAAATATATTATAGTTACATTTCATCCAACTTTAAGTATAGGACAGTTTTTCAATTCCATTACATGACACATAATTAATTCATTCTTTCAAATAAAGAAATATTAAAGTTCAATTTGACGCAATAATCCTGATACATTACTTTCAAAAAATAGTTTTGTTGTTTTACATTAAATTTAAGCAAATGATTTCTTAAGAAATGCCGGAAAAAAATAAATACCGAAGTTTCAAAAA